AAAAAAAAAAAAAAAAACAGAGATAGCAGTGATGAACAACAGGAAGAGACAATGTAGAACAGAAACAACAACTGAGAAACAGAGAGAGAGAGAGGGGGGAGCTCGAAGAAACACTCACATGGAGGAGAGAAAATCTGGGAAAATGGGTCTGAGTTGACTCAGCAAGATGAATCGGAAGAAGGGTAATTCGGAAATGGGGACCCGAGATTCGGAATCAGAGTCTGAGGATTCAATGAGAGAGATAGAGAGGATTTTTGAGGACGGAGAATGGCAAAGCGCATGACAGTAAGGCAAATACAAAAGCTCTTCCTTTTTCTATAAAAATAAAAAATAAAATATTTTAAATAAATAATTTAAGAAATTAATGATTTTTTCAGTTATAATTAATTTAGGGAATTGAAGTGACAAACTGGGGGAAGCTGCATCCAGTGGGGCCCACAGAAATAAAAAGCAAAAAAAAGAGACGGAATTTATTCTCAGCCACATGGGAACCCCATTACTCACTTTTTTACTCCCAATTTTTTTTTCTTTTTTTTAAATACATGAAATATAGTTTTATTAAAAATAATAATAATAATTTTCTAAATAATTAAGATTTAAAAATATAATTAAAAAAAATAATATTATTCACCTTTCAGCTTTAAGTTCTCGTGATTTTGTTTTAGATTTTTTCAAAAGGTCTCCTACCAATAGAGAAAGTATTCTTTGCTTATAAACCAAGACCTCCTCTCGAACAAAGTACGTCTCCCATTAATCAAGACTCCTCTTTTAGAGTCTTAGTCATTTTTTACGGCCTCCAAAGAGGCTTGATTACTTTTCTTTTAGAGTCATTTGTTCAACATTTGAGGATTTACTAATCTCCTGGCACGACTAAGTTTAGGGCATGACTCTAATATGTTATCCAATTGTATGATATTATCCACTTTGAACATGAGCTCTAATTGCTTTTCCTTGGACTTCTCCAAAATAGCTCATACCAATGAAGAGAGTATCTCATATGATCATTTCTTAAATTAGCCGGGACTTTCATCATCCAACAAGCTCAACTAACATAAAATATATATATTAAAATTAAATAAAAATTATAGAAGATAGGAGTTCAAAAAACAAGTTTATAATGCAATAATTCGAATAATTCGAGAGGAAATGTATGGTGAGCATGTGATTTTTAGGAACTTTATAAAAGCAGGAAGAATATTTGTTTGAATGAAATGATGCAGTACAATCACATGAACAATAGTGCCACACACACACACACAAAATAATAATAATAATAATAATAATAATAATAATAATTCAAGATTTTGGCTTTAGTCAAAATAATAATTAACATGACCAAATTATATAATATTATTGAAAAGTTAATAGTTATTATGCTATTTAGTACAAAATAATAAATTAATAATTCAATTAATATCAATTTAATATTAATGAATTTCTGGTCATACTCATCCTTCACTAGCTCGTCCATTAGACCCTCAATCTTCATGAGGAGGTCTTTCTCTCTCTCCACACCTTCCCGAGATTATTTTCCCATTCTTTTCCTTTTCCTGTTTGAGATCCTTTTCCTCGAGCTGCAAAACAAGATTGTCCTTCTCTGATGAAATTTTGTTTAGATCTTCTCGAGAACGGCCCACTTGAGACACCAACTCTTCATTTCTCCAGTTCTCAGCCACGCTTGACTCAAACATCATGGCTTCGTTCAGTTTACTCAATTCCCTCCGCAAGTCCAGGACGACATTTTCCACTTCCATTTTTGCTTCCTCCATTTCAGCTTTATCACGAGAGAGTGTCTCAATCGTGTGTCGTAAATTCACTGTCTCTTATTGGACTTGATTCAGATTCACGTCGAGTGAGTTTTTCTGTTGAGTAAGTATCTCTATATCTTTCTCATCACTCACTAGCTCGTCCACTAGACCCTCAATCTCTATGAGATTATCTTCCCATTCTTTTCCTTCTCCATTTTGAGATAGGAGAAATTCTTACTCAGCTCAGTCACTTCTTTCTCTAACCTTTCAATCTCCTTTTCTAAAACTTTCTTTTCTTTTTCAATCAATACTTTCTACTTCGAAAGGTGCTCGTTCAAGGATTTCAACTTCTGCAACTGAGACTTCTCCATAGATTTATCAACGACATTCTCTCTCTCTTCGAGCTCAGGCTCTCTGTTATTCGATTGTTCATCCTTCTTCAATTTTGTCATCTTCGATACAACGATTTCACCAAATCCGCTGCATATCACCTCATTTCTAACAGTTTCTATCGTCTCACGACGGTCACTATCATCTTTCGCTTTGCCGTCTTCTTTTTCCTTCAGCTCTTCGTTTTGGGCCATCAAGAGAATTACTCAATTTATAAGTTAAAAAAAAAAAAACAAAGCCTATTTATAAGTTTTAATAAGAAGTAAAGACTATTTATAAATTTTCATAAGGTATAAGTTTTAAATAGAATATAAATTTGAATCTGATCAACTTCAACTGAGGTAGCGATTGTGCAAAATTTCAGGGACGGTCGAAGGAAAATGTTCTCCAATTTCTAATCTATTTTTATCATTGTATACGAATCCCTAGATGCAATACCAATCCGTAGATGAAGAATGAGGCGTACCTGATTTTTTAGAAATTGCACGTCCTGGATTTGGGGATTCTGATTTGGAACTGGAGAATTTATCAGAAACGCTCTCGATTTTATCATCCACGTCGCGTCTTCAGGTTTCGTGAAGTTGAGAGTCAGAATCTGCGGTGGAAACGGACTGAAATTGACAGAGATGAGATGGATGGAGTAGCGAGCGAAGTTGCCGGAGAGGCCGAAATCGGAGTCTAAGTACGGCACGAGGCTGCGGAACGCCGAGAGAGGCCGAGGAGGTGGAGGGAAGCGAAGACGATCTTGACAATTCAACAGAATCTCGCCGGAATCGAGAACGGGTCCGGTGAAGAATGGAGATGGCTCCAAAAAGTCTTATAGAGAGAGTATTCATTGATTATATATAAATTTATAATCTTTTCCTAAAGAATTTAGGGTAAATTTTATATATATTTTTTAATTATTACCATTTAAATATTATATTTATTTATATTCAAATTTTATTCCCTAAATATTAGTATAAATCTTTTCTTTTTTTGTGAATTACTTATAATTATTCATATTCAAATTTTACTCGGATTATATTAGATTTAGTTGGGTTAGTTTGAATTCAACCTACCAAGTTAAAGATTGTATTGAACTCAATCAAATCTAAACACAAATTTTTTGGATTCGAGTTAGTTATTTAATATTTTATTTTTAACAAAAGTAAAATAATTCAAACATTTAGGATAATTCAATTTTAATATATATATTTTATATTACTTTTAAAAATTATTTTTAATAGTCATTAAAGAATACATAATTATAAAATTAAATATAATTGTATTAAAAAATTAATGATTAACTTTAGCTTCTGAAAATGAAAAATATGGGCGGGAAAACTGAAGGCTGCCCGAATGATAACGGGCTGACCGATTTTAGGGTGGGTGGAAGATTTTCAGTTTCAATGAAGACCCTTTAAATTTTTAACTATATTATCCTTCTAATTTTATTTTAGATAATTTGTTATTTTAAATTCTTTTTTTATATAATTATTTGTAAATTTCAAGTACCTTAAATATAAACCATTATTAATTAATTATTTATGAACATGTATTTATATTAAAAAAATTGTGTGATTATTATTTTACAATATCCTATAGTTTATAATATATTATCTTATATATATTTAATACTTTTTATATAAAATTTCATTTTATAGTTATAATTTCAATATAACAAAAACATAAAAATGTTATTTTCAAAATTTACCCGATTTGGATCACATGATAAAAAAAGAGGAGTTTTTAAAAGACATCACAAATCCAAACTAAATTGAATGAATATGAAAAAATAATTAAAATTTTTAACCTAAACCACCCTTATTAAATAATTAAATAATGAAGAACCCAACCATTTATTCAAAAGTTTAAAAACTTCTCCTTATTAATTTTAAAACATTTAATTAAAATTTAATCAATTTAAATATATATTTTAAAACATTACTTTTTTTAAAAAAAAAATTATATAAAAAAAATAAATATAGATATATATAATGGTACTATATATATATATTGTTTAAAAATTAACAATAAATTCAAGTTGATTTGGTATCTCAATTCAAACTTAACCTATAAAATTCTCATTTATTTGAACACAATACAAACCATAGGTGTTAAGTTAGGTGGATCGAATTTTTTCGCCTCGGACGATAAAGTTTATTTAACACCCTCCACAATAATCAAAAGCAAACCCAAAAAAGTTTTGAAAAAAATTATTTTTGAAAAATGATTTTAGGGTAGGGGTAAAGATGTCATTTAAGTAGCTATATTAACAAAAAAAAAATGGCTCATTTGAATAATAAATAAAGAGAATCCCCACCCCCACCATAACAAATACAGAAATATAAATGTCAGTAAAGAGTTAGTAATATGAACCATAATGGCAAAGCAAAACTACCACTCTTCCTCCATAAACAAAACATCTTCAAAAAAACTCACACTCAATTTCAGTCTCTTTTTCCTTATTCTCCTCTCCTCTCCTCTCCTCTCCTCTTCTAAGCTTTCCTGTTTGGCACAAAAACAAACTTAAGAATGGAGTCTTTGATGGACAACAATTCAGGGAACTCCCTCTTTAGCTTTGAAGCATCCAACTCATTGTTGCTCCTTGGCGCCACGATCACCTTTGCTTGTTCTTCCAACCCGAAATTCTCCCATTTGAACTTTGGGTCGATGTATTTCTTATACATTTCCAAGATCTCATTGTGGCTCACCACCCCCGGGTTTGTGAAGTTCCAAATCCCTTTGCAGTTCCTCTTTGCCATTTCGATTGAGATCGGTAGCAGCTCGTCCAGCACCGTCATGCTGTTTGGAATGTTCACCACCTTGTTGTAGTGGCTGATCTTGGTGATGAAGTTTCTGGGGTTGCTTAGATCTGATGATATTGGCATTCTTACTCTCAGTGTGCACACATTTGGATATTCTCTTAGCAGCTCCTCAACCTGCAAACATTTAGCCATTGCAACGAAAATGCTTTAATATCTTGCAAATGATAGTTTGGATTTTCAGCTGCAGACCTCGCTTGCTTGATGCAAAGTGCATTGAAGTATCAAGAATTTCACTTGTTCTTCAAGTTGGTTTCAAATTAATACAGAAAAGCCATGACAGAAACGAGAGAATCAAGTAGAAAACATAAACTATTATGCCCAGCAGTTCACATAAGATCAATGCATCAATCGTTTCTCAAAGGAAACTATAAGTCCTCTTTGGACTTTCTCTCTCGGGCAAGTATATGCGTTTTAAAAACCCTGAGTGGAAGCCCAAAGAGGATGATATCTGCTAGCGGTGAGCTTAGACTGTTACATAAACTGCTTCTTGACACTGAAGATGTCAAATATTCATATAACAACGGGTTGCACCGAGTGTAATATGAATTATATGTCGTCACATGAAATGATGATAAATCTCGCTACTCAATAACTATGGATTTGACAGGGCAAGTCATATTAGAAAGAAAAACTTCAAAGGGAAAAAAGAATAGAAAAGAGCTATTACCATGGCCTTGGTCTTGGAGTAAAATGAACCTATAAAATTTGGCTTATCTTCCTCCTTGAATCCAACGCCTGATCCCAGTTTATGCTCATTGTCATATTCAAAAATGCAACCAGTTGCGAAGTTCATCAACAGGAGACTTTGCTCCTTACAAACATCAGCAAGAGTCAATGTCCCAACTACATTTGCCCTTATAGTTTCAACCTTATGTGATTCACACCAGTCCACATTAGGCCTTCCGGTGACCCCGGCAGCATTGAACACATGAGTCGGTCTCACTCGCCTTATATCGTCAATTAAGGATCTTCTATCCTCCAATCTTCCATTGCCATACTCGAATTCTATTCCCTTTTCTTTGCACAGTTTGCCTAGCAAACCTCCTATCCAGCCAGTTCTTCCATATATCAAAAACTTCAGTCCTTGCTGATCTTGCTTCAAATCACCATCTTTGTTGATCTCACTGCATGATCTCGTCAATCTCGAGAATCCATACTGGAAAAACCAGGAATCTTCATTGGAATGAGTGGCTACAGAGATTCGAGGGTGTGGGTCAAGCGCAGCAGATACGTCGCCCCACCAGTCGGGGTTTTGGGTATACCAGTCCAATGTCCTTTTCAGCCCTTCTTCCCATGGTGTGCTCTCTTGCCATCCTAGCTTCTTCAACTTTTGGTCATCCAAGAAATACCTCTGGTCATTGAAGGGTCTGTCTTGCACAAAATCTATGGCTTTCTCAGGATTTGACCCAACCAACTTACAAATATCTCCTGCTACATCCAACACTCTCCTCTCCTTTTTGGTCCCAATATTGTAAACATGACCAATCACTCCTTTATGCAGAATCACTTCAAATGCCTGAGCAACATCCTCGCTGTATAGATAGCTTCTCACATTTGAGCCATTCCCATGGATTGGCAACTTCTCACCATTCATGGCCAGGAGAATGAACTTGGGGATAAGCTTTTCAGGGTATTGATTAGGTCCATAGACATTATTGCCTCGAGTTGTAATTGTCGGGAGGCCGTAAGACCGATGATAAGCCATGACCAGCATTTCAGCCCCTGCCTTCGTTGCAGAGTAAGGATTAGTGGGAAGAAGCTGTGAAGCCTCAGGATTCCCAATATCTGTCTCTAAATCAGTCTCACCATAAACCTCATCAGTGCTGACATGAATGAACCTCTTGATCCTTTGAGTGACTTTGCAGGCCTCAAGAAGAACATGAGTACCATAAATATTGTTGTTCGTGAACTCAAACGAGTTACCAAACGAATTGTCGACATGTGTTTGGGCAGCAAAATGCATAATTGTATCAATTTCTTCAGCAACCAAAAGGTAATTGATGAGATCAGCCGAAACAATATCCCCCTTTATGAATCGAAAATTGGGAGAGGTCTGAGAAGGGCGTAGGTTCTTAATGCTGGAGCAGTAATCCAGCTTGTCAAGAGCCACAATCTTGTAATGCGGATAGTTTTTGATCAAACGGTTAGTAACATGAGAGGCTATGAAACCTGCAGCCCCTGTGATGAGAATATTCCTCGGAGCATATGCCTCATTTCCTGGTGCCATTTTCTTCTTCTCCTCGTTGATTATTCCAACAAATCACCACTGACGAACCTTGAAACTTTGAATCCTTGAACCAGATCAACAAAAAAAAAAAAAAAAAAAAAAAAAAAAAAAAAAAAAAAAAAAAAAAAAAAAAAAAAAAAAAAAAAAAAAAAAAAAAAAAA